ACAGCGCCTCGGAGAGCGCGTAGACCTCCTCGAGCTCCTCGATGATGCTCGAATTCGCGTAGGACAGCGCGGCGCCGCCGAAGGCGACGGCCAGTTCGGGCGCCCGCTCGCAGCCTCGGAACAGGGAGACGTAAAACTTGATCTTCCGCACTTTGACGCGGTGCTCGAAGAGGAAGGCGACGTCCCGCGCCGCCGAGAGCACGTCCAGCAGGTCCACGAGCATCTCCACCGCCTTGGCCGTCGACGACGCGGGCTTCCCGGCGCGGAGCCAGAAGTCCATTCCCTTCTGCGTGTCGTGCAGAAGCGGGCATTTGTACTTCTCGAAGAGGTCGGTGCGGAGCAGGTTCACCTCCTTGAGGCACGGGTCCTTGAGCTCGCCCTTGGCGGCGTTGGTAGCGGTGCCGAACAGCCACGGCGGCGGCGGCGGGCGCCACGCGACGGCCTCCTTGACGCCCGCCGCGGCCGCGATGGCCGCGGCCGCCACGCCCTTAACCGCGCGCGGGAGCTGCGTGGGGGCAGCCGCCTCCATCAGCTATGGCTGTGGCAGCCCAGTTTGAGGTCTCCAATATCCAAGGTAAGTGAAGTGCAGCACGATGGGCCGCGCATTCCCCGCCCAAAACGGGCGGCTCGGGCACAGAGCACGCCAGCTGCGTTTTTGTCCGAACCGGAATGTATGCGATGGAGCTGATGGCAGCATGCTGAGCTGCACGCAGGTCGCGGCGCTCCGAGCCCACCTAGGCCGTCCAGCACGGCGTGGCTAGTATTCCATGCATTTTGTTTCGTTCTTCTTCCGGATCTCCTGCGACGAAAACGTGCTGGAATTGTCCCTCTCGAACCCCTTGGATCCCCTGCTAAATCGTTTCTCCTCCGCGTCAATCCACCGGATCGCCTTCGCGGGCGACATCGCCCTGCCACTGCTGGTCGACAACCGTGCGATGGACGACCTTCGTCCAGAGAGGGAAAATTCTGGCGACCACCCAGCACGCCACTGCCGGTACGACTCCCGCGACCGCTCTCCGTTCCGCCGGTTTCGTGATCGCGAGGCTGATTGGACCATCGGAATCGGGCGCGCGGAGGGGTCAAAAAGGCTCCTTTACAGCAAAATTTCTTCCCCTTGCGGTGTTGTCGACCCCCCGAGGCTGCGACGACGAGCGTCTGGACGAGGACGGTCAAGTCGTCGTCGCGCTCCGCCGCCGCCGCGCCGCTCCGCCCCGCGCCTCCGCCGAGGCCCGCCGCGCGCCGCCGCTCCGCCACCGCGGCGCACGCCGCCCGCCGCGCCGCGCCGCCCGCCGCGCCGCGCCGCGCGCCGCCGCTCCGCCGCCGCGGCGCACCCCGCCCGCCGCGCCGTGTGGCCGCCGCCGCGCCGCTGCGCCATCGACCGCGCGTCATGCCCTCAAACAAGATCGAGTGCCCGCAGTGCGGCAACAAAGTCCGCAAAAACCTCCTAAACAATCATTTGCTCCGGAGTTGTCCGGTCGCATCGAACAAGCTCGCGCCGGCGTCGACGGCGCCGGAGGGCTACGAGGACTGCGCGCACGCGTGCGTCTCCTGCA